AAATTTTTCAAATATTCGTTGCACTAGCAGTAGAAACCGTCTTCTAACTGTAGAGTGACATGTTTTATTTTGGAAGGTTGGTCCACCATAGTACATAGACCGTACCATAAGTTTATAATTTAAATAAATAAAAAATTCAATAATTTTGTTTTCATACGTTGGTGATTTTGGTCCTCACGGCACAGAAATTTATTTGTGAATTTCCGGTAAAAATTGGGAACAAGTCAGAATGACGTAGTCTTCTCGCAGTATACAGTATATATGAGCTTGGTGAGTGCTTTCTATTGTAATTTTCAAAGTAGTGTTCTTCTGGCACGCTATAAACCGCCAGAGATCTATTGAGCTCCTTAATATCAGCCAGACTAATCCTTCCCTAATTGTCCGACATTATCCAAAAACGTTCTTGCGAAAAGACTAAGGATTTAGTTATCAAAATTGCTAGGAAACAGTTTTGGGGAGTAAACTCATCTCGAAAGTTCCCGTCTAGCTAAGCGGGCTAAAAGTTGACTAAGCAGAATTTTGCTTAAATAACTGCATTAAAGTCTTAATGAGTATCGCGAAGAATTATACCTAAGCATTCAGGAAATTAATAGAATCTGCATTTTCCAACGCTTGTGAATTGGCGAATCCAACATTTAACTAATAAATTTTAAAAAGACTGGTGTAATATGAAAAATAGTTCACAAAAAATATTCAAACCGTAGAAGCAGAGAAATGGCTTATTAAAGACGCCTAGTAACACATACTATAACTCGAAAAATTTTATGTTAAGCATTATTTTCAGCTTAGATACTCTATAGTATATACAAAACTGCATATTTATACCCTGAACATAATATATTAAGTTTTCCACGATGTTTGTAACACCAAAAAGTAAACGTCAGATATATTAAAAAGTATATATTATATATATTGGGTCGTTCACTAAGTGATTTCGTTTTTTTAGTGCAAAAGAAACACGATTTTTTTATTGTGTAAAAAATTTTATAAAATTATATATTCTCCATTTTGATCCAATACCTTTTCCCATCTGTCTGGCAAGATGTTGACTCCACGCTCATCAAACTTTTGATATTTGAAGGCAAAAAACTGATCCAAGTGGTTTTTGAGGTCCTGATTTGAGGTGAAGGTTCTCCTATCCAAAAAATTTTACAGAGATCGGAACAAGTTATAGTACGAAGGTGTCAAATCTGAATAGTAGAGTGGGTGTGGTAGCACAACCCAGCTGCAAAAGCTTTCGGCGAGTCATCAAACTTTGTAAGACACTTCACCTTTTCTATTGATCAATTCTGGCCTCTCTGTTTGAGTACATCACTCAATTTATTCAGCTGATCACAATACACTTTAGAATTAATCGTGGTATGGTTCTCTTGCATCGACCAATGACTTTATTTTATCCACATTGGCTTCAAAAGTCCTTCTAAGGCGTGGCGCATAGTCAAGGTCAAAAAGCTGGCCATACAAACTCAACGATTGGAATCAAGTGCTTGTATGGAAAACTTTTTCATTTGACTAGGTATCTTCACCATTTTTGGAACGGATCATTATCTAAAGCAATAATGGAATTTCCGAAGAAATTCTTCAGATCGGATCACTATAGCATATAGCCATCATACGAACTGATCGATCAAAATCTAAATTTTTCTAACGTTTTATGCTATAACAAAATCACCTGCGAAGGGTATTATACAATAGCTTCTATACAGCCAAAGATAACGTTTACTTTTCGTTTTTTTTTCTCTTATCTCTCATACCATATTACTTTCTTCTGTCGTGGACGAATGGCGGTGAGCCAGGGCCAAAGGGTAACCAATCCAGGTTTTACGGTCAGCAAGGTTTTGCTATACGTTTGGTGGAATTGGCAGGGAAGCATCTACTATGAGCTAGTTCCGTAAGGCCAAGCTCATAATTCCGACTTGTACTGTCAACAATTGGACTGTCTGAACGAAGCAATTTCCCAAAAATTGCTAGCTTTGGTCAGTAGTAGACGAATTTTGTTCCATCAGGACAACTCCAGGCCACACAGCTCCAGGATATTGGTTGGGAAGTTCACATGTCGGGGCCGCGCACCAGTAGTTTACTACCTGCTCCTCTCTATGATGAGTGATTTTTTTTTAAGAACAGCTTGTGAAAACTGACGATGGTTCCAATTTTTTGCTAATAGTGACGAGGGTTTCTATGAGAGTGGCAATCTGAAATTACGTTTAAAATAGTTAACAAGTTATCGAAAAAACGGCGTTTTTTTCTTTAATCGGATCATATTAACTGTTCTAAATAAAACATTTAATTTAATGCAAAAATAACGTATTTGCCAAAAAATGCAAATCATTTAACAATATTTAACTTTTGAGCGGTATTTATCCAAAACATTTTAAATGTATTTAATAATTAAATTCACCCAATTTATTTGTTGATATTTAATATCTACAGCCCCAATATACTCCGAAAGAAGTCTATGCTTTTTATGACTAATCGAGAGCCACGCGGCGCTTGTGACATGCTTAGCGGCTGCAGACCCTAACAAGCTACAAATTATAACTGTAATTATACATACTAACAATAATGTGCATGAAATAACAAGTGCAAAATAAATATAATTATAATAATTATCAAACGACGGCAAAAAAACGGAATGGCGCGAATTGGATTGGCGTATGAATAAGAGCCGACAATTTCCGAAACTTTTGCAATTCAACTCAATGGCTTCGAACTATAAAAGCCAAGGTAGTCAATGCCAACACCACATTACGAGTAACACTCTGCAAATCAACAAGCCTCAACAAAATTTTCCATTAATTTACAAAAATGTCGAAGTTCTTTTTACTCTTCGTACTGCTAACGGTGCTTAGCAGTGGTTTGGTGGTAAGTGAGCTGAAATCCCTTACATTGAATTTCCATTGTGAATAATTTCATCTCATAACTGGCAGCTCGCGCGCCCGCAAGCACGCTCTACCACTTCATCACCCTCAACAGGGTCAACACCGAATGGCGGAGCTAACACCCCGAATATACGCGGAGGTATCACATTCTCTAAATTATAAAAACACTTTTTCCTGTTTTACAACTAACAATCTAAAAATTGCTCCTAAACTCAAGCACCGTGCCGTGGTCCGCCAGCTGTTGGTCAGTATAAATTCAATTGATTCGAGACGACGAGCAAGGAAACATAATTTGGCCGGAATTTGATAAGGAGCTGCTGGAAATATTGCTTGAAAACTGTAAACAATAGAGGGAGACCTAAAAGTTTTTTCGTTCAATAAATTTTGCTAAGCATTCCAATAAATATTTTTCATAATTATTTATGGTATTATTAGGTCCCCTTAAGTCTTGGGTAAAACGTTCGGCTGAAGAACTAGTGTATACACTATAATGATAAACAACTTATTTTAAACGAACTCGCCGCAAGATTTTGACATAATTACAAACGGTGGAATTAAGTCAAAGTCACTATTTGAAGTCATAAATTAGAAAGTCTGGATCTACGTTGAACAAAATGCTTTCTTCAGACTTATCTGCTGTACAAACTCAATTACAATTATTTTTCAGAAATTTAGATATCCGAGAATAAGACCCTCTCTTTTATCATCATTAAGGGTTCCTACTTAATCAATAGAATCTCTCATAAATAAGCTCTGAAACAAGAATCTATAAAACTTACTTTTCGGTGTCATATTCGAGTTTGGTTCCAACCATAATATCAATCCAAATATCAAAAATAAGACGAAAACTTGTTTTTTTTTTCATCAAGGGCTTATGCTTAAGATGGTGATCGCACTTAGAATACTACATATAGGCCTACAGGCAGGAAAAGAGAACTACTGTAATTGAATCTTATATATCCACAAAGCGCCTTGAGGCCAATAAAAAACAGCTTGGACTTTTTTTTATTCACACCAGCTCACCGAGATGTCCCAGGTATTAATCAGAAGACCGTCGTATATCAACAAAACGCCTAGAACCTGCCACTAATTTATTGAAGCGGCTAATATCAATTCCAGTCAAATCACCGTGTTCGTAAGATGTTTGACAACAGAAATGCTTCAACCTGAGTCTGGTGTAAGCTGAACAGTGGGGAAGAAAGTGTCAAGATGGTTCTACCTTATCTTTTCTCTTGCAACTTAGGCAAGTTGTGTTCTATAAAATCTTAAGCTTCTCCGCGTGAGTGCCAATGGGACAGTGTTCAGTTGCTAAGAGCTTCAATGGACCTTTTACATTCCACTCTGGGCCAGAAGGCTTTCGCAATCCTACAAGTGCTGACAAACGGTTGCAGAGCTCGCGCGAGGCTAATAAATTCAGCATCCGAATCCACGAAGAGAAGTGAACCTAAGGTACTCCCGACGTAGAAAATATCAAAAAACTCATCTCTGGTTTCTGACAAGATTTTAATTATGTGGATAAAAGCAGAGTATAAGAAGTCACTAAGTCAAATTTCAGCTATGGAGTACGAAAGGAACCTCTGAGCACTTTTTTGATGTTTGAGATTATACCCAAATTAGATTTAAGAATTTGTGAAGTTAAGATTTTTGCTTTGAGAACTTGGAGAAATAATAAATATTGCGATTTTGAAATATATATCCGAAGTTCTAAATAATAGTTTTTATTATCCTGCAGTTTGTCGTTTTTTTATCATGCTTTTTTTTTAGTATTCTGTAGCTTGACCCCTGCAAACATAATTGTAGGCGAGTTTGGCAACCCAAAAAATTATAATAACAATTTACTGCGCGGTACTCGGCCATACCCACATTAAGTGGTCATATTTATGCATCGACAAAACCAAGCATTTTATGTTTATAATTAAGTTGGAATTTATTACTGCGGCAGATAAAATGCAGCAAAGACAATAATTTACCTTTATGGTTTTATTAAGCCAATAACAACAGCTGGCAAAAAATTAAACAACAACACCAACTAAGCATTGAGTGGACTGAGGTGGAAGTACATACCTATATCATATACTCGTAACGAAGGAATAAAGAAATAGACGAATTGCGCACATGAAATTATAAGTGTTTTTACCGAACACCTTTCTGTCGGTAAAATTGAATTTTCTTTTATATATAAAATTTTTTGTAAATTTTGAATACATTTTAATTTGAAATTTGATAGAAAAACACAAACGAATTAATATAATATTTCAAAAATTGTAGATCTGTAGAGTTAACATCAAATTTGATTCATAGAGGGTAATCCGTTGTTCAAAGCTTTGTTCGTATGTAGAAGGCAGTTCAACTAACCCGAGCTCGTGTTATTGGTTGATGGCGGTCCGCGTCCTGCTGTATAAGTGTAAAATAAGAAAATGGAGAAAAAATAAATGTTTGTATATCAATAGGTGCACGAAAGTGTAATATTGGCTTAAGATTTTATAAGAGATGTGTTGGCAAATAAATATATTGATAAAATATATAGTTGATAAAAAATCGGAACATTTACAAAAATAATTCAATTTCTAAACTTTTTTCATGATGTATGCTAATAATAATTAAGCTTTTGTATCATAAAAAGCTTTTCAAAAAAATCTACCAAAATTTAGATTGATTGAATTTTCGCAATTCTGAATTACACCGTTAACTGGCCGCACTTACAGTTCATCTAAAAATGAAAGTTTTTAGTATACAAAACGAGAAAGTTTAGTGTGCTTTTTTTAACATTAAGCTTTAAAAGCATTTTCATTGAAAAATATGTTATTTTCAATATAATAACAAGAAAAAACGTTAACTGCGGTTGCATCAAAGCTATAATACTAGGGGTATTATCACTAGCACAACGGTTCTTTACAATAACTTGGTTCAGATCTAATTTCGTGAATCGGCAATAAAAAATAAAATTTTTTTCCAAGCAGGCACTCCGATCGTTCAGTTTATATGATAGCTGTATAACATAGCGATCCGATCTAAAATTTTCCGAAATTATATTCTTGCCTTAGAAAATAACTCATGCCAAATTTCGTCAAGATACCTCGTCAAATGAAAGAGTTTTCCATACAAGCACTTGATTCCGATCGTTCAGTTTGTATGGCAGCTATATGTTATAGTCATCCGATCAAAAGAATTTCTTCGGGAATTATATTGTTACCTTAGAAAATCACGCGAAATTTCGTGAAGATATTACGTCAAATAAAAAAGTTTCCCATGCAAGGACTTGCTTCTGATTGTTCAGTTTGTATGGCAGCTATAAACTTAGAATATATATCTCGTTTTTTGCTTAAACTTGTGCAGAAACTGCGTATATATGTATAGATTAAGCTTTATAGAGAATCATGGAACTTTGCAAGTTCATTAAGCTTTGTTTCGAAGCAATGAGACCCCTAGAAAGGACTCTAATGAGACGCGAAAATGTATAACGGCAATATTAAGGGTATATCCTAATCACAGCGTGTATACATAACCTAATTTGAAATCTTGTTCTTAAGTCAAAACAATCACTTACTGCCGGATGGTGGCGGACCATTTGGTGGAGGACCATTAGGTGGTGAGCCACTTGGTGCTCCTGGAACAGCCTGGAAAGTTATACAAAAATGTATATACATGTATATGACAAGTTGTAAGTTTTTCTATATTAATATTTTATATATTTAGATTTATTGACACACCATTATGGCGCCGAAGAGTGCGCTTATTATTAGAAAAATAAAGAAACTCAATTTCATTTTGTTAGAACGATTTATGACAAACTGATGTACAGCAACAGTGATGAGTTGCTTTTATAAGGGATTGTAAACGTTTACGTACTACATTAGGGTGGTGCAAATATTATAATTTTTTTAACAGCTTTTTTTAACTATTCTTTAAAGTATTAAAGAGAATTGTTTAAAGAGGCTTGCAGAGAAGTGACAACTACATTGCGAGTATGGAGGAACTTATAATAAAAACTAACCTCAAATTGAAATCGAATTTAAGGGAAGGAGTATTCAAATAGTACAATACAGAGCTAGTGTATAAGTATTGTCTCTCTCTGATATTTTGTTGGCATCTTTTTCGAGTTTGAATCAATATTAATATTAAAATTACTCCACCCTAGCAGTTTTTGAAACATATACAAATATACAGGGTGTGTGATATTTCATGTCGTCGATATATCGGCAACAATGCTTCGAGGATTACTCGAGTACACTTTTCTTTTCGCATAAGAATATCAACAGAAGGTAGCTGGACTCAAATGCGGAGGTATGGATGAGCAGTCAATGTCGTCTTTTTTTGACACCAGAAAATTTGTTTACTGAAACCGCATAGTTTAATGCGCGATTTAATGTTGGGCGTTGTTCTTTTGACAAACAGTTTGAGACTTCTAGAATGCGGATAGTGACAAAATCCATCGATTTCGATTCAAAGTTTTCGCACCCTGTGTATAAGTACTTAATTCCATTTTCAACTTTTTTATACAAAATTAATTATAAATAAACCGCATGCAAGCATGCATGAAGTGCTATTAAGTATTTAGAAGCAGATTTAGTTCGAATGATAATGGCATTAATTTGAGCAAGTGTAAAAAGTCAGAAATTTTTTAAACGAATAACTAAAACACTAACAAAATCTTTACATTTTCATAACTACGATTATTTTGCTAGTTTAGTATCGTCTCGTTTCGTGTGATTTATATTTCATTACTTTTTTATTAAATGCAAACTCAATGCGGAAATGATTGAGCGAAACTTGATATCATTACTTTTCTTATAACTTTATTTCAAATTAGCAAAAAATTAAATATTATCAAGTACATTCACACAAATTAACGCACACGTATTTTAAAAATTGCTTAAATTAAAAACAAGTTAAAAAAAACCCACTTCGGTCTAAATAACTCAATATTACTGTATAATCAAAGTTTCCGTAATAGCAATGAACTTTCAGAGGAAGGTGGGAGGGTTTGAAGATTACTTTATCATTGAAGAATGCTTCAGAAAATATGGAATTCCGATACAACTTCCTGCAGATATATCACACACTGATTGATATTTATGATCTAAATTCAACTGGAGGGCTGAAAATCATTATATTGATTGTATGGAGACTAAGAGAGGACCTGCACCGATGGTAGACTGTTTTTAAGACTAACCTATCTTGGTTACAGGGAAACACTAAAATTTGATGGAAAAAACTCTGATATTAACCATTGTATACGATTTAATGTCAACGAGGAAAATAAAAACTATTTTTTGGAAGCCTATCGACCCTCATAGTGATCAGAAAAGTATGTTTACTTAATTATCCAAAGATATCGTATTTATATTATTTATATGGTATAAAGTCGAAGCTAAAGCCTTTTATGAACCGATTTCCCACAGCACCAAATCACATGGTGGACAGAAAAACTTACTCACTTAATTTCAATCAGATTTCTTCCAACAACAAGATTACAACTACGGAATCGTGAAAAATGTTGAATAAGGTATTTTGGGTAGTCTACTTCATCACAAATACTAGTATTTGAGTGGCACATTCAATGAAGGTGAAGGTTGTGAAGTCATCGATAACTTGACAATAACATTGAACAAGTTGAAGAAACAGTGCTTAAAAGTCATCTTGTTGGTATCATAGTAATAGCAGAAGATCTCAACATCTCTTACGAATCGGCTTCACACACTTTGCTTAATAGTTTGGTTATGAAGCGTGTCAATGTTAGACTCGTACAAAAAGAATTCAATCTTTTGCAAAAATGACGTCGATTAGAGGTGTGTTTTACAACATAACTGAGGACAATACAATCATCAAAGTCATCATTGCTGGTGACGGGACGTGGGTTTATGAATGGCGCTCCAAAAATCATACGATATTTATTAATGTTAAGTTGTATGTTCGAATCGTCGTCTCTGCTGGTTCCTTTCGGCTCTAATTAAGTGATCCTATTGAAAACAAAACAAGAGAGCATGCGAATACCCGACTAAAGCTACTACTCACTACTGTGTCAAACCTATTTGTTTTATACCAGTGGTTTGCTCGATTCGTGATTCATCAAACTTTGATGAATCGAGTACAGCTAATGCTATAGTGTATTTAAGCAAGTTGGAAGATATAAGCTGAAATCTTTCAATGTGACTATATTACTACTAGCCGTCTTTCTTTCGCCAAGTCTCTGTTATGCTACCTCCGCTACATTATGAGAGTTCCTTTGATTTTTGCAGGTTGTTTGTTCGATTCATTCCACTGCAAATAGCTACTCACTCATTAATCTTTTATTATTTTCAACTCCGTCCTTCCATTTTCTACCGCTAAGAGCGCTTTTCTCGTCGCTCATTTAGTTAGCTGAATTTTATTTGATTTTCTTTTTCGAAAGAAAACTTTTTATTGACGTTTTCTTCACCGCTTTCGCTGCTTATATACATACTTAACTGCTTACTCACCACCACCCGTGGTGGTACATACCTATATACACACGTATGATTGTTTGTTTAAATATACACTCGCGATTAAGAAGATTATTAATTTTGAAGTTTTGAAATTGTCATTCGGTCGTTTGTAAAGCTGAGTATGCCAACAAACTTGGTAAGCTTTACGCCGACATATGCAGACCAAACGCTTAGATATGTATATGAAGGAATATGTATGATATCCATATTCACCGTTGATGCTAACTTTAATAAAGGTAAGTACTTTATTATTTGACTTCGAGAATACGATTTGCATATGTGGCAAATATATATATGTACTTTAACGGTAAAAAGCTTTATTAGGCAATTTGATTAAATTATAAAAATTTAATTATTTTTCTTCTCGCATTTAAGATTGCTGTTCAAGAATACTTTGTAAGCAAAATTTTTTCTAACTAAACAGAGGAAGAGGATTGATGTCATAGTGATAGACAAGTTTCCTGATTTAATCATTATAAATTTAAAGTTCATTAAAAATTATTTTAACAGTATCTAGGGTTGGCGAGATCTCTTAACGCTTCTCACAGTGTAAGAAGAGGAAATGGGGCCTTTAAGTCAAAGTGTTCCGGCATGGCTTTTCAGAGCACACTTTCGTCGAGAGATGGGTATCTTGGTATAGTCCTTAACTGCATATTTTCGTCGAGACTAAATTTCTAACGGCCAAATAAAGTTCTTTAGGTTAATGCTTTAGCCTTACGGTCAAGCTCTATCGGTATAGGTCTTCAGAAAACGCTTTCATCGAAAGCTGGGTACCTTGGTATACGCCTGTCGTCGAGATTGTAGAATTTTGTGTATATCAGTGTTAGGCAATCCATAGCCCGGGGACACACTCTGAGTGAGCTTTCAGTACATGTGTGTTTCACACAGACTTGCGACAGTTTTTACACTCTTGCAACTTGCTACCGAGTATCCCATAATACAAGGTGCGTTCCAAAGTAAACAGGACTTTTAAAATAAAGACAGAATAAATGATTTTATCGGTAAAATCAATTAACTTTATTCAAAATAGTCTCCTTCTGCTTTAATATAGCTTTTTGCACGGTCCGAAAGCATGTCGAACGAGTGTTTTAGCTCGTTGCCCGGTATGGCCGCCAGTATGCCGGTGCAAGCCTTTTGAATGGCCTCCACGGCTGCATAACGCTTTCCTTTCATCGGCAAATGCATTTTTTCGAAAAGGTAGAAGTTGCACGGCGCCATATCAGATGAATGCGGGGAGTGGTTGATTGTTAAAATGTGATTTTTGGTCAAATAATTGGGCCCAAGCGTCGATCACGGCGCATTATCGTGCAACAAACGCCAACTTCAACACGCCTAATATGGCGCACCAAACGCTTCAAAACTCCAAGGTAGAATACCGCATTAACGTTTTGGCCGGGTGGAACAAATTCTTTGTGGACAATACCCTTGGAATCATAAAAACAAATCAGCATTGTCTTCACTTTTGACTTCTCCAGGCGCGATTTTTTGGGTTTCGTCTCATTTCTCATTTATGTCCTCACGACCACTTTGAAAACGTTGAAACCACTCGTGCACTCTGCTATGGGATAGGCAATCATCGCCATAAGCTTGTTTCATCAATTGAAGCGTTTCAGTAAAAGTTTTACCAATTTTAAAATAAAATTTAATGTTGGCTCTTTGTTTGAAGCTCATTTTCGCACCGATGACAAAAACATACGGACACCTAAAACGCAATAACTTCACTTCCAATATATGAAATGTCATGTCATTTTTACTCGAAGTCGATAAAGGATAGCAGGTTCTAACGCACTGGTCGACATATAGATGGCACCACTAGAGTTTACTTTTTTACTGTTTACTTTGGAACGCACCTTGTAGTATTATCTTGATATTCCTATGTTTCAGTGCGAAAATGGCCGAAATCGCACTAAACCCCACGCCTACTTCCCATATGATACAATTTTAAATTCCATCTGATTCTTTCTCTTTACAGTATGCAAATCAAGCACCAGTGAATGTATCGAATGATAAAACTTTGCACGAATAGTGCCTTTGAAGTACGCTACTTTACTAATAAAAGTTGTCTAAATTGGACTCAAACTATTCATCCCCCCCTATATTGATATATGCTATAGAAATTCGAAGAGAATCCTTTTCTGATAATAATATGCCTGTATGTCAAAAATGGGTTGTATCGGGTCAATAATTCTTTTAGCCCTCCACATACCTACAATAATAGTAAGATTTTCGAAGTACCGGCTGACTTTATATCGCATATATAATATTAGCAAATAAGTAAGATACCTTAGCAAAATTTACTTAACGTTTAATATTGAATATACTATTGTTGAATGCCGAACATATATGTAATTGGTTCACAAATTGCCCAAACTAGCATATACTGC